GCCGAGTCCTGTTCCAGTCGTGTTCGTTGTATTCTCTTATGAGCAAATACCCTTGGAAAAACTAGGAATCCACCTCTTCCCCTCTAATGTATGGGTTAAATAGTATGACTTGTATCGTTGAAAATCCTTATTATCTCAGTAAACTTTTTGCAATCTAAAAGTATTTTCTGGCCTTAAATAACATGTAAATGGTCGATAAACTTTTAAAATCAAATCAGTCGATTTAATCAAAAAGAATCTTTAGAAAATGGATTTGCTGAAAATGTTCTTTCTACAGAAATTTTAGTAAGGCAAAAGAACTTTTATAACAACTGACTTTTCTCTGTTCATTGGACAGCTATTTGGCTAATAACAACGAATGAGGACAAAAATCTTAATGATAATGAGTTATCATTATTTTAAAGTATTCAAATGTTTCTCACGTAGTCTGCTCTATGTAGCTATATCTAGAGTAGAAAATACAATTGAATTTAGCATAATGACATAAGGGGCTTTACAAAATAGATGTCTTGCTGAAGATGTTCTTTCTACAGCAATTTAACAGAAGTAAATGAATTTATATAACAACCGACTTTTCTCTTTTCCTTGTGTGGCTATTTGGCTAATAACAACGTATGAGGACAATAATCTGAATGATGAGGAGTTATCATTATTTTAAAGTATTCAAAAGTTTCTCATATGTTCTGCACTATGTAGCTATGTCCAGAGTAGAAAATACAATTGGATTTAGCATAATGACATAAGAGGCTTTAGAAAAATAGATGTCTTGCTGAAGATGTTCTTTCTACAGCAATTTTACAGAAGTAAATGAATTTATATAACAACTGACTTTTCTCTTTTTATTCGGCTTGTCAAGTAAATACCTTTCTTTTTGTTTGACTTTCCATCTCCATCTTGATAGTAGCTTTTATGATAATGCAATGGTATCGCAACTGTGACCTCAATTCACGTAATTTATCCTCACATAAAGTTAATGCTTTTGAACCAGGATTGCGTAACTCTATGCCATTTCTCGAGCAAATTAATAACTAGCGCAAACAACTTTTAAAATAATTAAACAAATTAAAAGTCGACCAGTTTAAGCTGAAAAAGTAGTCAAATAATTTAAATATAAGGTAAGCAATTATTTTTAAAAAATGTGACAAGAAAAATAAAACTTATGGGAAGAAAATCAAAATCTAAGGCAATTTTTACACTAATGTCCACCTAAAAAGGCCCAGGAGACTTTTCCGGTGGAAGGTGATTGTATGGCAGTGTATGAGCGTATGAAAATGCAAGCAGTGAATTTTATTAAGTTATGCGGGGAGATAATAATTAACCTTAGACTTGAAGAGGTCGGGATTGTAGTAATTGAAAAACATCCTACCGGGAGTCTGTTCCACAAAAGAGCAGTTCTTGGGAAGAAGACGGCCGAGTGAAACTTCCTCCTTACTAATGGAATCCAAAGAAAGTTGGGATGATTTACATTTGTGTATGTGGAATGGTGGGTCCTAGTTTTAAAGATTAGAGGTACAAATTTGAAAAATATGGAAATAATTATAAAATGTGAAGCGACAAATTAAAAATCAAGCAGGCAAATTAAGAAGAGAGGCATGCAAATCGAAAAATGAAGCAAGTAAATTAAAAATTAAAACAAAGAATAAGGCATGCAAATTAAGTCAAAATCTAAATATACGAAGACAAATTAATAAATGATGTATGCAAATCAAGGTATCTGAAACAAGCAAATAAAACTGTCAGGTATTTAAATAAAAAATAAGTAATGCAAATTAAAAATGTGAGGCAGACAAATAAAAATGCCACAAGCAAATTAAGAAGTGAGACATGCAAATTGAAAAATATACGCTGTCCATAAAGTTCGTGTGCACTTTAAAAAATTTATAACTTTATTTGTATTTGCGATAGAAATAATCTGTAAAAATAATTAGAAAGAAGTAAATCTATATTTTTTAAGGTTTTATTGAAATTTTATTTAAGTTTCCACTTGTCCTCCATCATTAGCAATACAAAGGGTAATACGATTTTGTTGTTCACAGAAAACATTTGCCAACTGATTTACAGTAATGCCTAAAATCACATTAGTTATTTTAGCTATACTTAAAACTAGGTACATTAAACTTTATAACATTTTTTACAGATTATTTCTATCGCAAATACAAATAAAGTTATAAATTTTTTAAAGTGCACACGAACTTTATGGACACCGTGTATGTCAAGCAAGTGAAGATTTGAGGTTTCCAAAAAATTTAAGGTAACAAATTAAAAATTGTGTCATGCAAATATAAAAAGACAATCAAATTAATAAAAAATAAAGCATGAAAATTAAAGATTAAGAAATGAAACGAAATATGAGGCTAGGCAATTAAAATGTGGTACATAAAAAATCGAAAATATCAAGCAAATTAAGAAATGACGTATGCAAATTGAAAAATATCTCAGCCATATTAAAAAGGCACACAAATTAAAATACGAAGGTATTGTATTTAAATTTATGAAAATCAAATAAAAATCAAGCAGAATAAAGAATGAGACATGCAAATTAAAAATATTAAACAATTAGAAAAAATAGAAATTTGTCCAGCAAGTTATAAAATGTAAATCAACGGCAAGCAAATGAAAAAGTAAGGCAAGCAAACAAAAAGTAAGGCAAACAAATTAAAAAGTAAGGCAAGTAAATGAAAAAGTAAAGCAAGCAAAGAAAAAGTAAGGCAAGCAAAGAAAAAGTAAGGCAATCAAACAAAAAGTAAGGCAAACAAACAAAAAGTAAGGCAAACAAAAAGTAAGGCATGCAATCAACAAGTAAGGCAAGCAAACAAAAAGTAAGGCAAGTAAATGAAAAAGTAAGGTATGCAAACAAAAAGTAAGGTATGCAAACAAAAAGTAAGGCATGCAAGCAAAAAAGTAAGGCAAGCAAATTAAAACGTAAGGCAAGAAAACAAAAAGGCAAGTAAGGCAAGCTAACAAAAAGTAAGGCAAACAAACAAAAAGTAAGGCATGCAAGCAAAAAAAGACAAGCAAAAAAAGTAAGGCAAGCAAAGAAAAAGTAAGGCAAGAAAATTAAAAAGTAAGGCAAACAAACAAAAAATGAACAAGCAAACAAGTAAAGCAAGCAAACAAAAAGTAAGGCAAGCAAACAAAGAGTAAGTGAAGGAAAGTTAAAACCTCGTCAATCAAATTAAAGAAATGCAGCATGTAAAATACAGCAACTACAAGCGCCGGAAATTGTGGAGAGCCATGATCGCCAACTTCCTGAAGGGACACGGCACATAGAAGAAAAAGAAATAGAAAGTGAGTCATACAAGTGAAAGTATACCACAATTATATTAAAAAATACGACATTCAAATTTAAAAAATACAGAAAACAAATTCAAGAGTAAGATGTGCAAATCCAAAAATAAGGCAAACAATAAGAATGTCAAGTAAGAAAATCTATTTAAAATAAGGCAAAAATTCTAAAGTTTCCTGTTTTATGTTCAAAGTCCGTGCGTGACGAAGGCGATCATAGTTCTCTACAATTTCCTAAATTTTATAGCTCTAAGCAATGTTTGTCCCACTTTTAGTTCGTGTGCTGCTATCTGTTTTCACAAACTTGTTAAGTAGGTTAATCACTATTTCCTTCTGTCTCTGCAATATGTCCTATGATTGTTAAATTCTCCAAACCTCCTTTCCTCGTTGTGTTCTTAACTGTCTCTTCCTGGTTCTAAGTAAAAGTGTGCCTTTTTGCCCCTAACCTTCTTTATTGTTCACATGTTCCGTCCATATCATTCTCAATCACCTTCTGTAGATTCCATTCTCTGTGGCCTCAAGTCTCTTCGTAATTTATGAGGAAATTGTCCGACATTCATAGCCATAGATGAGGATTCCTATTACATAATAATCTAGTTCTTTTTTCTTTGTTCTAATGAAATTTTCTTGTTTCTTAATACTTTGCTTACCTTTTGGAAGGCAACTTTTGCTATTCCAATGCCTCTTCAGATGTAAGTCAGATTTTCTGTCATGTTTTAGAACATACCACAGCATTTTTGTATTTGATGTCTCCAACTGGTAGCTAGCATCTTGGACTGCCTTTCTTGCTAAGGACACTATATTCTGTCATTCTGTGTAAATTAAAATAAAAATAAGGCGCTCAAATTAACAAGTAAAATAAGCTATTTAAAATAAAGCAAATATTCTACAAGGCAAAGAAAGAAATTTAAAACGTAATGGAGGCAAGTTAACAAGTAAGGTAAGCAAACTAAAAGTATGTACAGGATGTAAATTAACGACCAGTAAACCCGACCAAGAAACCTGAGTAATCACATTCTTCTTTTCTTCCATAGTCGACACATATACTAAATTTTTTTTAAGTGAAATTACTCGAAACTTTTCGCTCATATATTTTCTCTTTGTTTTTATTTTCTTGCCTGACTATTTAATTTGCTTCAGAAAATATATAGTTTATGCCCAGAAGCAGACATACTGTTTTCCGACAGCCTCGAATAAGCAATCTTATTTTTCACCGTTCCCGGTTAAATATATTGTCTGGGTGTCATAACTAATTCTGCAAAGACTTGTTCCTTGACATTTCTGATTTGTCTTTCAATTCTAATTCGATACGATTGTCCCATAGATGTTTCCTCCAAAATTCACTTTTATTATTCCGCAATATTGATTATTTTTTCATTTGCATTTGTCATTCATGTAATTTTTTCCTCATGGGGTTCAAGTAAAGTAACCTGTTTCGAGAAGTTTCTCGCCTTCAATGTCTCTTATATTAAAAGGACGCTAAGTCGGAGATTTAATATGACAGTCTGTCGTCTGCTTAACACTACCTACACATGGGCCGTATATGAAGCTACACTGGCAAAGCTAAAAATCAAGAAGACAGAAGACAGATACATAAGACTGATATGTGTACATCCGTGTGTCTGTGTACAAAAAAGAAAACAAAGAATAAGTCTAAAGTTTAGCGCTTAAAGAAAAATACGAAAGAGTCCATTTTTAAAAGAGATTTTAATCAAATGACCGCCACTCTTCTTTCTTTAAAAAAAAAAGGAAGAAATATTTCCCCTTTGTGTTCAAACCTGCTAATTTGTCAAATGACAGACATATCTTTACGTTCCGTTAGTTAGTTATTTTTATGTACTAAAGCTTATCCAATACAATGTTTAAGACTTACGGTAGAGCGCTACTTGTTAAAATGGCCTTGATGAATGACATGTATGATATGAATGAAAGAGGAGGGAATAAGAAATAAAGACTACAAGAAAAAGAAGGATAGATAACGATTGAAATTAACTTAATATAAATAAAAACGGTTTTTAATTATTGTTGTTGGTTAATTTGTAACGGCACATCAACACCTCTATGGGTTACATAATGCCGAAATCTAAACATTTTGTACTCATTTTTATGACTTCAGCTACATATATTTCAAATAATTTTATAATTTCACGGAAGACGTATGTTTTTACATATATTGTTTGTAGATAATAAAAAGTATTGCTGGTATTTTTTAAATATATTGTTGATGGATTCACTGCAAAATGTATTTTTGGTAATTTTAATATAATAATGTATTTTTATACATTTTTAGCGATTTTTTGCTATAAAAATGTTTTGTTGGTTACTAGTAAAATGCATTGCTGGACATTTTATTGCAAAATGTTTTGTTGGTCATTTTGCTATTAAAATATATCGTTGGTAATTCCACTATAAAATGTATTGCTGGTTATTTTGCTTTAAAATCTGTTACTGGCAATAATTTTGCTTTATAAAAATGTATTGCTGGTATTTTTAGTATGTCGCAGTGTGTCCAATCACCACTCCCACCTTTTCGTGAACAACCCCGGATATGCCTGCCGGTAGAGAAAAGTCTTGTGTGCTAAAAATAGCAACGACATCCTTTCAAACTGACAGAAACACACAAAACTCAATTTTCGCAACTAAACAAAAATAAAAGACCTTTAATTTTGAACCGAAATTAATTTAAATACAGTCAACAAACAGTCAACAAACACCAAACACACTTTTGACTGTAATTTATACGGCCCGAAATTAATTATATTCATTTACTTGTTTAGCGTTTATGAACGTCACCTAGATGCCCGAGACTTCTCTTTTTAGTATGAATCGTCATATCTAGATGCCCATGGCAAAGTCTTTTGGACCATATCGGTTTTTAGCCAAGCCAAGACCAGAACTTGACAAGCCCGACCTTCTTGGACTGGACCAATTTTGACCAGACCATGGGAAACGTCTAGTTTTCCCATATCAAACGACCTTGCTAAGACTTGACCCCGTGAGTCAGAATCCCACGAAAAACGACCTTGTGTCCAGTCTTGACCACATGTTATCCCACGAAAAAAACGACCTTTGTGTCACATCTTGACGTCGGGAGTCTTGACCACCGCTTGGTCACGGAAGCAGCCCGGCCTTCGGGCAGTGGCCCTCTAGTTTGGACCATATCAGGACCTGCTTAGGTTTTCCCTAACTTGGACCAGAACGACCTTTGACCACGGACATTTATGACCAATCTTTGACCAGGACCCCATCAAAACGCTAATTTTCCACGAAAAACGACCTTGTGTCACGTCTTGACCCCGTGGGAGTCAAGTAATCCCACGAAAAACGACCTTGTGTCACATCTTGACCCCGTGGGAGTTAAGTAAATAGCGCCGGCCACGGAAGCAGCCCGGCCTTCGGGCTGTGTTGCGACCATGGCAAAGTCTAGTTTGGACCATATCAGGACCTGCTAAGACTAACTTGGACCAGAACTTGACTAAGCTTTGACTAGCTTGAACAATGTTATGACCAATCTTTGACCAGTGACTCTATGCGGAAACGCTCTGGTTTCCCACGAAAAACGAACTTGTGTCACTTCTTGACCCCCTGGAAGTAAGTAACACCACGAAAAACGACCTTGTGTCACATCTTGACGTCGTGGGAGTCAAGTAAATACCGCCGCCTGGCCTTCGGGCTGGGTTGCGACCATGGCAAAGTCAAGTTTGGACCATATCAGGACCTGCTAAGACAAGCCAAGACCAGAACTTGACTAAGCTTTGACCAGCTTGGACATGTTATGACCAAAACATTGACTAAGTTTGGACCAGCTTGGACATGTTATGACCAATCTTTGACCAGTGATCCTATGCGGAAACGCTTGGGTTTTCCCACGAAAAACGACCTTGTGTCACATCTTGACCTCGTGGTAGTCAAGTAAATACCGCCGGCCAGGCCGCAGCCCGGCCTTCTGGCTAGGTTGCGACCATGGCAAAGTCTAGTTTGGACCGTATCAGGATCTGCTAAGCCTAGACCAACGTGGACCAAAACTTGTCTAAGCTTTGATTAGCTTGGACATGTTATGACCAATCTTTGACCAGTGACCCTATGCGGAAACGCTCAGGTTTCCACGAAAAACGACCTTGTGTCACATCTTGACCCCCGTGGGAGTTAAGTAATACCGCCGGCCAGAAGCAGGGAGCCTTCCTGAATCGCGACTTTCACACGCCCAGTCAAGTCGACCGAGCCCAGCAGCTGACGGGACCCAGCATCAGCAGCAGCATTTGTTCAAACAGTCCTTTTCAGGGCTAACTTCTGAAAGTCATTTGATCACCACTCTTCGAGGCTCCACTCACTTCACTCTCTGCTACTGGAGACACCAGCTCACTTCTGCAGCTACCAGCCCACTCTTGCAGCTTCCAGTAGTCTCCAGCTCACTCCAGCAGCTTCCAGCTCACTCCTGCACTACCAGCTCACTCCTGCAGCTACCAGCAGACTCCAGCTCACTCCAGCAGCTTCCAGCTCGCTTCTGCAGCTACCAGCAGACTCCAGCTCACTCCAGCAGCTTCCAGCTCGCTTCTGCAGCTACCAGCAGACTCCAGCTCACTCCAACAGTTTCCAGCTCACTCCTGCAGCTCCTCCCAGTTTCCAGCACACTCCTGCAGCTTCCAGCAATCTCCGGCACACTCCTGCAGCGCTTCACTGACGTCCAGCGACCAGTTCCAACCTCCGGATACCGTTCACGAACAAACGACCTTTGTCGCCTTACCTCCCACTGTTCGCAAATAAAGACTATTTGCCCATAGCTGGGGCCCTAACAAGTGCTACCACCCTGGGTCAGAGTGGGCCTGGGAACAACAGAAAATTAAGAGGTGGTTCCACGCTCCTAAAAACCTCCTGATCAGAGGCTTTACTGCAGGTTGTTTTAATAATTGTGTTCATAGCGTGTAGATAGATAGATAGATAGATAGATAGATAGATAGATAGATAGATAGATAGATATGAACAGAATGAGATAGATATGAATAGACTGGGATAGATAGATAGATAGATAGATAGATAGATAGATAGATAGATAGTGCGTGTTTAAAATCGAACAGTCAGACAGTTTTTGCACCTATGATTAAACATTGTCGCGAAAGCTTGTGCAGAATCAACAACAGTTTTTGTAAGAACCGATTACAGGAAACTGGTGTACATCGCGTATCACAAGGGCTCCAAATGACCCTTCTCAGTTACCCATATATATATATATATATATATATATATATATATATATATATATATATATATATATATATATATATATATATATATATATATATATATACCTATTTCGACGTTGGGGGTTCTTATAAGGCAAGTCTATATAAATAATGCTTAAAATCGGCTATATTTGTGGGAGAAGAGTTCTAAATATCTGGAAACAGAGATTGTTAATATTATTTGTAAACATTCATGGTGACTATAAGTTTCGCATCTTGAGCGGTCATCAGAAGATTTCTACATTGTTTATACATACAGGGGTCCTTAACTTACGTCAGAGATCCGTTCGTATGGCAGGGCGTAACCTGATTTTTGAAGTAGGTCAGAACTTAACTACATAAGCACCTGCCTTACGCTAGGAAGCCATAACGAAGGGCAAAAAGTTCACCAAAAAAACGACACAAGCGAGAAATGAATGTAGCGGAACCCGGTATGACGTACATCCAGTGAAGAAACAACGCTGTCTTCTTCACATAGCGTCGCGAGACAACGTATTATATTATGGGAGATGGCGCCGTAAACCACGAAACGCCGTACGTGGATCCGACGTAAACCGAGGATCTTACATATATATATATATATATATATATATATATATATATATATATATATATATATATGAAGAAATATAGTTTTAAGATATTGCTATATTTATGGGATAAAGTGCTCAATATCAGAGATAGAGCGTGTGTAAATATAAATGTCCTGACGATTGCATCTAGCATGAAACAGACTGTCGCCTCTAAGTGTTGACTTCTATGTTTTTTTTATATATATATATATATATATATATATATATATATATATATATAGACTCTTCGCAAATGCGAATTGAGTCACTGTCGGTCACTGGGCGTGTTTCTAAAAATAAATATGCTAAAATCCACCATCATACCTACCGTGCGCCGACGGTCTAATGGTTAGAATTTCGGACTGACACCAATTCAGTCGGGTTTCGATCCTGGCTAGAGGCAACCGGATGTCTAGCCACACTGATGAGCTGCGAAACAGTCTGTCTGTGGATGACGCTATATATATATATATATGTGTGATTTTTTTTTTTTTTTCAATGCCATTTCCCTTCAGAGTTTAGGTAATCATGACTCCCCTCTACTTTTACTTCTGTATCCCTTTAGGACATCGGCGATCATGGCTCTCCACAACTTTCTGTCTTTTGTAGATCTTTTTTAAGCATTTCATCCCAAGCAAGGCGGGATAGCCACAAGTACGGAGTGGGTTACAGAGAATGAAAGTGAGGGAAAAGACTATGTATGGGGAGGGGGAGATTGAGAAACGAACAAAAGAAGAACGGGGATCACGCCAACAGAAGATGACAATTGACCTTGCATTTAAATTTTTGAAGATTGTACTTATCAGGATAACTACAATGGATAACGGCTCGGAATGAGAAATCGTGGTGCAGTGTTCTAATTCCAGTCGAGTTCGATAGATTCACTTTCGTGCAAATACCCTTGTGAAATGTACGAATTTCCGTCCATCTTGGAGTTAATTAGAAGGACTTATATCAGTAAATCATTATTATCTCAAAAAAAAAATCATAGAATCTAAAAATATTTTCTGGCTTTAAATAACCTGCAAAGAGTTGATAAGCCGTAAAAAAAAACAAATCAATCAATAAAAATGCACACATCTGATGAACACAGGAGAGCACTACGAGTTAAACGTTAGGATAATAACAAAGATGAAGATATTCGTCCGAATGTAATGAATGTAAATAATGATAAGTTTGCAAAATTTTTTCTAAAAAATGGCTGAGAAGGCAGTTGAATGTAACACAAGATGCCGGCTTCATATGAATTAAATAAATTCTGAAATAGAGTTTTTGCGTTATTTGGATTCAATAAGGAGGAAGCTTATACTTAACATCAGGAAGAGACAGCTGAAATTTCTGGGACACGTAATGAGAAAAGACGGCTTGGAGAATCTGATACTCACAGGTCAAATAAAGGAAAAGAGACAAGGGAAAGCAATTCATGGCATACCTAGCGGGCTTAAGCAAGTGGGTGACAGAACCTGGCCTGGAGGAAGTAGCAAAGGGACAAAACTTATTGAGAGCTACAACGGATAGGAAGAAGTGGAGGGCCATGATCGCATCCGTTTTAATGGGATATGGCACATAAAAAAAAGAAAGAAGAAGAATGACCTGAATAACCTCTACAATTTGAAATTCTTTGTAGAATTTTTTTTTAAATCTGAGGCCGTTAACTTGGAATTGTTTCCGACTTTGTGAGCTCTAAATTAAGCTTTGTTGGATATTTTGGTTCCGAATTTTCTTTTAGTGAAGAATTTAAAAAAAATTTAACACAATACCATGTTGATGTGTTATTCCCGGATTCAGTATTAAATGCGTTTTTTAATACAGTTGAATTATAATTGTTTACAAGCGAGACAACAGCGCGCATCTGTTTTAAACATATTGACTCAATCTTGTTTATTGTAACAAACGTAATAGGAACTTATTTTAAGGACAGTCAGCCAGATACAAGAAATCACCTCTCTGAAAAGGATAGTAGATGGAAAAATTGACACAGAAATCCGAAGTAGCATATTGATTGATTGGTTTGTTTTTTACGGTTTATGAACACCTTTTTTTTTGTTGTTTAAAGGCGAAATATTCTTTCAATTATAAAGATAATTATTTTTTTTTTTTTGCGAGGGAACATTGCATATTTTTAGAATAATAATTATTTTTCTAGATACAAATCTTACTATTTAAGCCATAGCTGAGGCAGGAGATGAATTCATGCCTTCCTCGAGTGGGTTTGCACATAAATGAATGAACGAACCTGACTGGAATATCGAACTCGGCTCTCCGGTTTCTCCTTCCCAAACGCTATCCATCACACCACCTGCACATTACCAAAACGAAATAAAAATATTGAATTAAGTGTCTTTAAAACAAAGCAAAGTATTATGAAATTACCACACTTGTCTTGCAAAGAACTTTCAACGACCGCTAGATAGCGCTGCTAAAAATGAAAAGGGTACAAACTCTCTCTCTCTCTCTCTCTCTCTCTCTCTCTCTCTCTCTCTCCCCACACACACACACACAGGGGATTACTTACTTTCACAGCGCCACCCTTGTACCTTTGGAAACAACGGAGAGAGTTTGCCTGACAGAAGGACAGGTATTCTTCCAATTAGATATTGACAATCATTTATGTCTCGCAAAGTCCTATCCAGGGCCTCAAGATATCCTTTGTGGGCTATCGTGCACTCATCCCACACAATGAGCTCACACCTTTTCAGGGCGTCAGCTTTATTAGAACCCTTGCTGATATTGCAGGTCGCTAAATCAGACGAAATCAAATTAATTGGCAGCTTAAAGACGAAGTTCGCTTACCTTGCTGCAATTCCAGAGAATCGCACAGCCAAGGAGATTCCCTTCTTTTAGTTGGACTTTTGCAAGGAGGAGCGTCGTGACGAATGATTTATCTGTCCCTCTAGGTGCATCCAAAAAGAACAAACTACCTTTCCGAAAGCAAACGGAGTCGAAAATTGTATTGTAAGCCAACTGCTGGTCCTTAGGCAACTTTGGCTCGTTTTCGCTGATATACCGTGCAAGAGCGTCGGTGTCATAGAAAGTTTCCTGAATTATGGCCGTTGGAAGAGTATTTGAACTCGTTCGACGAACTTGGGACAGGCTGTAAGTTCACAATGAATTTCCGCCCATAGAAACAATCACATCTTCGATGTCAATAAGCGCTGTTTATAAATTCGTCACTGAATCCTGTGTCAAAACCACGAAGCATTAGTTGCCCATGGTGTTTGGAGTCTTCAGAAAGGTCTTCTTTGTATTTCTCCCATAAAGACGCAGGATCACTGAGTTGACACGTGTGCAATAACTCAGCAGGTTTGTCGGAGACTTTTTGTTGTTCGCATTGCAGCAGCCTCCACGAGAGATGCATCTCACCGAGCACCATCTTCCAGCAGCCCATGTTTGAAGCAGGCCTCGCCGTACGTACTGCAAACGTGTTCATTAAACCTTTTTAAGTCGTCGAAAAACTTTGAAACTCTTACTTCATGTACTAGAAGCCGAAGGTAGAAGCACTCCTGTTGTCTATGGTGGACTGTATATACTCTGCCGAGGCAAGGATCAAACTTGATGCCTGGATGTCCATCAACAGTTTCTCCAACCTTTCTTCGTGTACATAAATTGTCTTTCCAAGGGTAGTATGATGGTAATGAGGGTATAGCAGGATCTGAACCAATGAAATTCTGTCAAAGAGTTGATTGGATAATTAGTAGTGTTCACGCGAACAGGTCAGAGGTCATGCCCGTAGTTCACCCCTTATTGTCAGGCCATGGACATAAAGGGGTAAGTGAGTAAACACTAAGAAAGTAGTATAAGCAGACATTCACACGAATTAAGAGATTGAAGGGGGCATTATTAGTGTTTACACGCACCGGTCAAAGTTTGCAGTCATCAGAAAATGCGCAAAATGTATTAAGTTGGTGAAAAAGGAGGGCATTATGATTGTGGGTGGTAACAAGTAGTGAGAAGTGTGTAAACACTAAG